CTTGTAACAAAAACCACTCTTAATTTATGCCAAACCTTGTTAACTGATAAGGAACTAGGCCATGCCCCATTCCTCATCGTTGTTAATCGGCAGCAAGGAATGATGAGATGGCAGTTGCATTTCTTGGTAAAACTAGAAGGTTCTGTGCTGATACAGTGACCTATCATACTTAATAACTTACCATCTCTTCCTGGTGTTTCTTGTTTCGCTTTTCTGACTTCATCTTGCCGGACGCTTTACCGTGAAACTTGTGTGACATGTAACGAAACGCCTGTGACAAGAAAAAGAAAATTCCGCTCTAGCAAAAGGTTCCAACAAAAGAGGATAGAAGATCTGTGAATCTATAAGCAATTGTCTCCTTTTGGCGCGAAAATATTCTCAGATATTTGTCCTTGGATGTCATTTGTTCCGAGAAGCGAACAGTTTTCCTTGAGCTTCGCTACTGGAAAGCTGTTCGCTTCGAGGAACAGATGATGCCCAAGGACAAATATCTGAGAATATTATCGCGCCAAATGGAGGCTACTATGTTTATTACCCTTCAAATATTTTTCGCAACACGCGTAGTTTTGAAAACTGGGAAATATCACTCAGATATTCCCCAGTTTAGCTGGGGCATATTCAGTCACATGATGCGTTTAGACCAATCGCATGCGAGCGAAAATATTTGATGGATTACTAGCTGTAATATGTACACCTGTGTACCAGAGGCCTTTCCAGGTCAACTCCGTAGGGTAGCTCGTCAAGTCGGCCTTCGGCCTGTATCCTAATCCACGTTTGCGAATAACCCCCTCTAGTGACCATTGTTCATTGCGCAATGACCCAATAAGACCAATAGAAGAATTCGAATAAAAAATTTATAATCCATCAAGTATTTTCGCTCTCGCGCGATTGGTTTAAACGCGTCACGTGACTGAATATGCCATAGCTTAACCTAGGACCGATACAAACATCCTGCGTTTTGCGAAAATATTTGAAGGAAAATAGACAAAATAGCCTCCATTTGGCGCAAACATTTGCTCGGATATTTGTCATTGGACATTATCTGTTCCTCAAAACTCACAGTCTTACTCGTGCTACGCTCTCGGAAAACTGCTCGCTTCCCGGACAGGTGTCCGCGGACAAATTCGCACCAAATGCAGGCTATTGTTTATGTAACCAGTAACGAACACGAGAAATCTCGTAACTAGCGCCAAGTGCGGGAAAATTTGAAACCAGTGGCAAGCGTGGGCACAGTGCAACTGAAAACTGGTGACTGGTGAAAAGCGCGGGAAAAATGCTTAGCAAAGCATGTAACCATCGGCAAACGCGGGAAAAATTTGAAACCGGCGGCAAGCCCGGGAAAGTTAATTCCAGTTTTGCAAATGATTGGTTAACAAGTCAACAACTTGGCTCCTATTGGTCAAAGCATGCTACACGAATTTAGTACAGTACTACGCTGCGCAAACGCTCAAATAAAAAAAACCCCGTTCTTTTCGGAGATCATTAGAAACTGCGCTAAACAAAGAATGAAAATCAGTCCTTATCTCACCTCTTTAGGAGTGAGAGCGCGGCCATTATCATCAAAATATTCCAGCTTTATGTCCGGTTTGTACTCTTGCTTGCTCTTTGATGATCCGCTGCCGTATCTGAAAAAATAACAAGGAATCGTTGTTCAACATCTAATTTCTCCTTATAATATCAATACATGATCAAGCAGACAAGTGGTGAGAATAAAGAAATTCATCAACTAAGTGATACAGTCCTGATGAAACGCGAAATTCTCAGACTTGACATTACAGAAATGTATGGTTACGGTTAAGGAGAGTTGAATGGTGATCAAGGAATAAACTTAACTTACCTGTCTCTGATGTGAAGTTTACATGAAATAATTCATATATGAACTGCGGTAGTAGATGAAAGTGAAGAATGATCATCGCAGTTAATTTTCCAATTCA